ACGACGACTACGACGACGGCTACTACTACTATGACGACGACTACTACTACTTCTACTACCACTACTCCTGCTGCTGCTGCTGCTACTGCCACTGCTACAGCTACTGCTACTGCTACTGCTACTACGACGACTACTACTACTACTACTACTACTACTAGTACCACCAGTCCTACTACTACTACTACTACTACTACTACTACTACTACTACTACTGCCACCACTACCACTGCCACTACCACTACCAGTACCACAACTGACTACGACTACTACTACTACTACTACTACTACTGCCACCACTACCACTGCCACTACCACTACCAGTACCACAACTGACTACGACTACTACTACGACTACTACTACTACTACTACTACTACTACTACGTAGAGCATCACCGTGTTCAGTTCTCTTGATGAGACAACTATCGTTACAGATACTTGTGTACACTGCTTCATGCGGTCAAAGCTGCTCATGTGACATACATGCATACCTACATACTTACGTACATACATACATACATACATACATACATACATACATACATACATACATACATTTGCCTGTACATCCGAAGCCGGACCCGAACCCGGCCATGAGCATGTAACTGCCGGCCATGTGACTTCAGGCCTTTCAGACGAATCTCCAGGGAGTGGCGTGCACCCAAGCTTGCTGGTTGGGGCTCCTCATCCCCCGTTGAAACATACCAGCTCTGTCGTTTCGGAATCCGTTGTTAGCACTGGCATTTCACATCCATGGATGCTGTCGTTCATTCGGGGCGTGGGTTTGCGATCTATACCTTCCGCCGAACAGCAGAGCGACGCCGCGGGTTCTGATCGTAATGATTGGTCACTTGAAGAGTTATGAAGAGTTGATCTGCTTTGGTATCGAGTGTTTCGACATTATGAAGATTTTAGCTGGGGCCCCCTGAAGTCTCATTGGAACGCTATTGACATGTTCGTGGTGCGGCGCAAAGAGCTGACTTACGGTGAGTCTTGGTTCGTTGGCTCGAGATTCGTGATTTCTTTTGTCCCGGGCCAGTAGACTGCTAGACTTTCACGCCGGATGTCCAACACTTCACATGAAGGAGCTCTTCTGCCTACCATGATTGTGCTAACCGATTCCTATATCCATCTGCGAAAACTGTTCCTGCCAGGCTGCCAAGCTGTTCAAAAGCCCCTGAGGCCAGTGCCACGGCGACGTGGAACCAACTCGAGGACCTCGGTGAGACCTTCGATCGGGCTGCGCTTGCCCCTGTGGTTTTGGGGCCTACTTGGAGGATCATGGGACGTAGTAAGTAGAGGTATAAGTGCCCTAACTTGGTTTCTAATTAACTATAAGTATAGTTACCTAATTTATAACCCTAGTTACTAAGTCCCATGTTGGGGGATTTAGAGTTTTAGGGAACTGGGGTTTGGGGTATTTTAGGGTTTAAGGTTTTTGCGTCTTGGGTTTTTGTGTTCAGGCTTTGGGGTTTAGGGCCTCGGTTTGAGGGTTTACCTCGTAGTGTTCAGCACTTGTTGGGTGTAGTCCTCCAGGACTTTTCAGGATTGCCAAACTTCAGGGTTTGGATGTAGTTTTCGAGATTTCGGCTGACTAAGATTCAACTTCCGGGGTGAAGCACTAAAGCCCTAAACATCGTTTTCTTGAACCTAGACTTACCCACCTGCGCATGATCCTGACACCCCAGGCGCTGAACAGGCGCTGAACTGCAAGCATCGACGCAAAAATCTGGAACATAGCTACCAGCTACCACCACTGCCACCACCACCACCACCACCACCACCACCACCACCACCACCACCACGTCGACGACGTCTTACTGCTGCTGCTGCTGCTGCTGCTGCTGCTGCTGCTGCTGCTGCCGCTGCCGCTGCTACTACTACTACTACCACCACCACTACCACTACCACTACCACTACCACCGCCGGTACTCGTCCTCCTTCTACATGTCCTCATCATTCCCACTTGGTGTGTCGAACACTTTCAAGAACCAACGACAACGACCTATTGCCATCAAAACAAGAGCAGCCCAAAGAGAAACTGAAGCAAAACCGGAGTGGTGGCAGCAAGCAGCAGCTGCAAAAAGACTGACAACAGCACCAACCACAATATCTTTGGCCATCGTAGCACCATGGTCTTCGCTAGTGCCGCCATGGTCAACACTCCTGCCGTTGCCACCATCGTCTTCGGCACCATCACCAACATCACCCACTATCGTAAATAGATGTAACCGTCAGGGTCATCATCGCCGTCGTCATCTTAATCACCATATTCGAGCCGAGTTCACGATCATCCCTGTTCCACCATCAGTAACTTAAGAACATGGCATTGCTTTGCTGATCATGTCAGAGCAGAGCGGTCTTGAGGTCGAAGCCGAGTTCGTCCACCAATCTACCGAGGCCTCACCCAAATGGTCTTGCTGCCGACAGTCGACATAAAGGGGGGTCGAGCAGATGTCAGACCATTCAGGGCCTATACCCATTCGAGACTGTGTGCGGGAGCCCGGGTGTTGGGCACTGCGGCAGCCTGCGGAGCGGATTGGGTCTGCAGGGGCGATTAAAGCAGCTCCCGTCCATCAAGATCCGTTGTGAGTCGTCGTCGTAGTCGCAGTCGCAGTCCAAGTCCTGGTCCTGGTGCTAGTCACTAGTCGCAGTCGCAGTCGCAGCAGCAGAAGTTGTTGTTGCAGCTTCAGCAGTAAATACCAGCAGTGGCTATTGGCTTTATTGAAATCAGCATGGTGTTTTACCTCCGGAGCTTCACTCATCACGGCCATCATCACCATTGTCACAACAGCAACAGCCAAACGACGACGACAACCATAAGGTTGTCCTGGTTATGATGAAAGCCGTTATCAGTCTCTAGAATGAGAGGGGAAGTAGAAAATGACGAAACATTTCAAAACAGATGCTGTGGAAGGGCTCGGTACTCGAGCCAGATTTGCAAGCCAGCGTCGCAGGCACTTCTTCGGCCGGCGACGCCTTCCGAGAACTCCGGTGAGAATGTTGTCGATGTGCTTTGGCCGGATTTGTGTTCAGGGTTTCGGCCACCCACGGCATAGTTATTCTGCTTTGACCAGGCAGCTGTTTTTACCTGTACATGTAAGATGCGGCATGGTGGCCGGAAGTTTCCCGCGACGCTGACTGCAAGGACTTGCCAAGCACAAAACACTCGCTGTGACATTCGAGCCAATGGTCGCGTTTGCGGCAGCACTCGATGCAATTCCTAATTTGGTATGCTCTGCACGCCAATGGTAGGCTTGATAGGGCTCTCGTGACTTCCTTTGGTTGAGGCTCGTTGACCATGCTTTGACTGAGTGCCGAAATCGATGTCGTCAATAGGGGACCCTAATATAGTACCCTATATAATGGGTTCCTTATTATAAAGATCCCAAAATAAGGTACCCTAATTTTCGGAAAGTCCCAACAAGTTCTTCGCGAGCCCAGGCAGAGGCCAATGAGGTGCGGCTCAGGCCAGGTCTCGGGAGAGGTCTCGCATGTGAAGCTAACATCAGGGCACGGCACTGCGCTTTTTCGGTCACGCACCGAAGCACCGTGAAGTCGGCAGTGCATGCAGTGCCTGTCTTGAGATGTGGGCGATGAAGAGGTGATCAGACACTAAATCACACCTGGAATTCGAGCCTGCCCAGCAGTAGAGGCGCTTGTGTCAGTGCCTGGCGTCGCGCAACCGCCTTCGCTCGGCCGGATTCCTAGACACTTTCTACTAGCAGCAGCTTGCTCGGGAGGTTTGGTGCGGGCCTTTGATTGGGGATTTTGGGGCGCCCCAGTTGTTCATCTCTGTATGGCCGGGACTGTATAGATCAAAGCACCCAATTTTACCTAAACGCGGCGACGACTCACCTTGCGGCTTTCTTTCTTCTCGTCGAGCCCGGACCTTCTGGGATGCCAGGCCCGAGGGCCCTATGCGGCAAAGATGGAACGTGCTCATTTACCGAAATGCTAGGAGGGGTCGTAGTGGTGTACCTGGCAGAATTGGCGTAATGTTACGACCAGATGGAGTAAGAGAGATGGAAGATAGTTCTGAAATGTAGAAACATGTTAACAGTCATCGCTTCCGACGCACTGCAGGCTCTCAATCCCACCTTGCGCGACGTGCTCCTATCCCATTTGAAGAAGGCTCGATCCGGGGTCTCGATGTTTGTGGATCGAACTTAGGCTTGAGGGGCACTCTGGGGTCACCCTGCGGCCTTTCAGAGCTACGGTAATTTCTGCCTGGCAGAAGTTTTGAGCTCGACGTCAGCAGAATGACGTTGCTGACCAGGGGCACTGATATCCGAAGTGAGGCTCATTCAGGGGTCCTTATATAATATATATATATATATATAATAGATATATATACATATTCAGGATCCTTCTACCTGGGGCTTGGGATCTTTTGGTCCCGGAGTTTTTGAAAGTCCGATGCGTCGGACCGAAGATCCCTGCACCTTCATCTCCATTCCTGAAACTATGGGCCTGTCGGCTTCCTCAGGATGATGTTGGTTGGGTCGTCTTGTGGTCAGCACATGTGTGCCTTGGGAGGGCTCTACTACCGTCAAACTGAAAAGATGTCGGTCGAAGTTGCTCTTATTGCCAATGTGTTCTGGCTTCTGTTTGAGCTCCCTCGTGGAGCGTTCTTCACCCCGCTGCTCCAAACCCGAAGCCAATGGCCAAAAGAGCCCGAAACCCGTGGAGGAGGACACGAGAAATGCGACGGATCAAAGAGCTCAACCCGACCAGAGTCGTGTCGCCACACCGAACGTCTACGAGACATTGGTAGAAAAGTCGAGGCAAAGCCTGTTATGTCCAAAGTCCAGGTCAAGGACGGCTTGCAAAATCTTGCAGGGACGGCGATACCGGAATTCTTTAACGGGTGAAGCTTGGAAGAGGCAGTTCGCCAGCCGCGAATTTTCAGCCAGGTTCACATTGTCCGCGTCCGAGAACCCTGTAGGGCCCATGCAGGCGAAGGCTTGCAGGATTATTACGACTTACTACTGTTGTTATTACTGTTAGTACTACTACTAACATGATTATTGTTACTATTATGATTGCTATTATATTGCTATGATTTCTATTGCTATTGGCTTCTGGTCCATTCGAGCACCGTCTTTGGCACTGGCCTTCTTCTGTGCAAACCAACCCCGAAACTCATGAGACAAAACAAGCTTGAGAATGCGTTCAGTGATCTAAATGCTTGCCGATGCACTTCTGCCCATGGAAGGCAAAAAGATTCCCTCAATTCGGGGACGAAATGGCAGGCAACATACAGAATGATACCCCGCACCCTCAGATGACATTTATCCGGCGGTGTGGGTATACGAAGACGAGTGGGCACACGCACGGCAACATTTGTCACCCTTGTGCTCGACCTCGAATGACGCGGCCACACCCCGAACTCCTAAACCCTGCTGCTATGCCTGGCTCTCAGAGAAGTTGGACCCTGTGAGGCCCTCAAACTCCGTGCCCGGAGCTTGTTGGAGGCCACCTGCCCCGGAATTGATTTGGACCATTCGCCGGGGGTTCGGGCATGGATATGGGTAGTTGTCAAAATTATGGTCCCTTTTGGGGTACCCTAAATAATAGGTGCCGTATTATAATCAGGACCCAAAAAGGGACCATAATTTTGACAACCACCCATATGTCAAAGCTAGAGACG